TACACACACACACACACACACACACACACACACACACACACACACACACACACACACACACACACACACACACACACACACACACACACACACACACACACATATTTAGCTCACATTATACTTAAAGCAGGTCTATTGGCTGAAGCCCCCCCTGCTGGCCACAAAGGGAAACACATTAGAAATATATATTTTTACATAAAGAAAAACGTAGCCCGTAGACGGGTTACGTTTTCTGAGAAATAAACGTCAGATACATTATTTTATATTCCAGGTGTTACCGATGCATTATGTGTTAAACCCTGTATTAAAGGCGTTCTTAAAGGCGTCATTAAAGGCGTTATTAAAGGTCTTACCGATGTATTCCCCGTCCCCCAGCGGGCGGGGGGGCCCCAGTTTGAGCGCCATGTCCTCCGGGGGCTCGGAGGGGGGGGGCTCGTAGTCGTTGTTATCGTCGTCCATCGGGGACTCGTAGTCGCTGCCCCCCCCGTCCCCCCCGCTGTCCGGGTCCTCGTAGTCATCGTCCAACTCTTCCTCCGACTGGAAGTATATAGACATATATATTACAAAAACACGCTGGTCACAAAAAACCTTCAAAATAAAGAATATTTTTCTGGTTGAATTTCCATCGAAAGAGATAAAAATAAAAATAAGACGTACAAACTCATCGGCACCCCAACCCTGAACCTCTGTCGTTGCTTCTGCTGGGGAGAACAGGTGATTAGTATGAATATATTTATATAAAATACATTTCAAACCAAACATGAGAAGGTTAATGATGAAGTCAAACCTGGTTCGTGATATCTGGTCGGTCTGCGATGAAAATAAATACAGTAGTTATAAATATCATTAAACAATATAACAGATATGTAAAGGTGCTTTATTTGTTATTATTTTATTATTTACAATTTAAATGTATTATTATTTTTTTATTTGTGTTAATGTTGTAGTTTTATATTAAATATATATATAAAAGCCTCACTTTATCCCGAACAGGCTCCTCTTCTCCTCCTTCTTGCTGATCTGAGAGCTGATCTTAGTGATCATCCTGAGGACACACAGGG